ATCTATGTTTTTATTTTAGCTAGGTAAGCATGGAAAGGAGAGCCATCTAGAAGAAAAAAAATGGGGATGTGTTCTGATAAAGGAGAAAGAGCAGAGAAAGAATTAAACTCGCCATTAGTAACCAAACCCATAGCTTGAAATATTTTAATCTCTTGCTATGTGGAGGTGCCCTGAAGTTGAGCTTGCATATGGTGATTGCATGTAGGCAGCTCTCTTGGCACCACTATAGAAGCAATTTGCCACTGCTGCTTTTTACTGTTTTTTTGGCAATGCTTTTCCAGATACACCAAGAGCCTTAGAATTTGCAGCTCATCCCTCATCCAAGTGCTAACCAGAGCTGATGTCACATAACTTCTTAGGTCAATCAAGGGTAGCTAAGCCCCCCTTACTGTGAGGAACACGTGATTTAGGTGGTGGCAAGTCTGAAAGAAAGCTCATGCCTAGTCTGTGTTCCTGATCATGGATGTGTTCTTATTTTAGTATGTTGTTTTCTCCTTCCCAAAGATGGGTTAACAGAACTTTTGTTCGTACATTCATTTTGTTTTGTTTTTTAAACACACTGTTCTACATTTTAAACTGGAATCAATTTTTAATGAAGTCTCAAAGTCTACTGAATAATATAGGGTTTTTTTGTAATATATTTTATTGATTTTTTTAGAAACATAAATCACAATAATTGGTGAACAATGTGTTGTCTGGGTTACATTTGTAAAACAATCATTAACAATTGATTTCTATAATCCATAATCCACATAATGGTTTAGTTGATTTCCTCTTTTCCCAAAATATCCTCTTTTGCAAACATTGAGTTAATACAATTCTTATTGTTTTGATAGATAACAATTAAATATATTTTTTCCCAATATTCCTGAAAATAATAGTCATATCAATATAATATTTCTTTTCTATCCAATCATTCTGGTTACCTTATCATAGATCCTGTTACAGTCCTTATTTTAATTTGTTTTTCCCACCAGATTCTAAATATTCTCACTGGTTAAGATTTCTCAAAAATTAATTACATTTAAAAAATTAACTCTATTTTTCCATATGAACCATCTCACACTTTTACATTTCTTAAGGAATAGATAGAACAATGAAAAAAAAAAGAAAGGAGAGCAAGAGTAAAAAAATATAAAAAATAACATACTACTTAAATATATATCCCTCCTAAGCTAATATATATATATATATTTCCTAAATTTCTTATTCTTTTTAATCATAATTAAAAATATGTTAATCTTTAAACATTCCATTTAATACATCTAGTCATCTAGTCCTTTAACTCTTATTCAAAACATTTTTTATCCATTATATGGTAATTTTCTTAAATTCAATCACATTTAAGTATCTAAAACATTTCCTTTATCTAAGTCATTTACATTACTCATATCAAGAAAGAGAACAAAAAGGGGAAAAAACATACTATATTATTTAGGGAATTCATCCCTCTTAGAATGACATATATATTCCAAAACTTTTCTATTTCTTTAACCATATTCAAACAAATGTTTCTTTTTTAAGTATTCTGTCTGATAAATCCCATCATCTATTTTCTTGGTTTCCACTTTAGTTTTTTTCCTTTGCCCAGTATCTTTCTTAATCAATGTATTTCGCTGAATCAAAAAGTTTTTCCGTATGTTCATAAATGTTGCTGTAGATATAAAAAGTAAATCAGGTGAAGTGTCTTTGTACGGGACTTCTGCCTTTCCATGTTTGTTGAAAATCTTTTTCTTTCTCTCTGCTTCTCTTATCATTTCCTTTTTCTCTAATGTTCCTGACATCTCTACAGTCCATTTTATCCAATCTGTTTTCTTGTCCTCATTTATTTTGTAGTCTTAAGGGATAAGTTGTTTTTTCCAATTCTTGTGAATTTTTTTCCACTAGGATTAAATCATGTTTCCTTGTTTTGTTAAGTTCCATCTTTAAGCCTCTATTCTCAATTCTATATCCATTTATCTGTTTTATCTGCTCCTTCTCTGTTGTTGTTTTCTGGGAATTTTTTTGTTGTAGAGTTAACTTACAAATAGATTGATTTATATTTTCAAAGTTATTTTGGATTTCTTTGTTGTTTAAAGTCATTGTTGTTTGAATTAGTTGCAGTATACTATATATCTTCTCCTGTGAAGTATTTATGTTTTCTTGATATGTTCTTTCTACATGTCTCTGATCTATATGGCCAAGAATTTGAGTTTTTCTCTTCCTTTCTTTTCTCTGCAAATAGCTTTAGAGTCCCAATTAAATAGATATTTATAATCCAAATAGTTTAAAAAAGATTTTTTTCTCAAATTTATAATTCTCTCTGTCTACAGCCCAGATTGTCTTTTTTTGTCACAGCTGTTCTTTGTTGTTAAAACTTTGAAGGTCACAAACACAGATTAGCTTTTCCCAGGTTTTGCCAAGTCTTATATTAAAGTCATAGCTGTCATAGTCTTCATCCATCACTAGGTGTCAGCAACTATGTGTTTTTCACGTCCATATATTTTGATCTTCCATTAAAAAAATAATCGCCACTTCCGTTAGTATAAGGGTGAAGTGGAAATCCCCCTCCTTTCCTTTCGGAGGTATTTTGCTTCTTGGGGATCTTTTCCAGGAAATTAAATGTAGAATAGAAACGAGAAGATCGAATTCCTCACCCAGTTTCAAACACGCTGTTCACAGTTGTGCTGGTTAGTGCTTTTGGACTTTGGTTGCTAGTAGCTTGGGCTGGTCGATGCAATACGGCCAGCCTTTCTCCTGTTGGGTTAGAAGGCTTTCCCCAAGTCGAACGGAACAGCCACCACTGTTCCAGAGTAGCTGGAGCACCCTTCTTTCTTCGTCGCCTCTCTGGGGTGACTTATTTAGGGTCCCCAGGCAGGGCGAAATTAGCCGCAGGAGTGCAGAGAATCCACAAGCCTGTGACCGGTCACTACTGCAGAAAACCGGAAGTCCAGTTTCTTCGATCTGCTACCATTCTGGTCACTTGCTGGTTTGTTTAGTAGTAGAATCGTTAGAACCAGGGCCATTGGGAGGGGTTGACTTGAAGAACTCTGGATGAAATCCAAACAGCAAGGCATTTTGTTTCAGTCTCAGAACAAAACTTCAGTACATGGAGTATTTTGTTCTGCACGGTCTCAATGAATATATGAGGGGACTACAGAAGTCAATGACCTTGTTGATACTACTACTACTATTACTACTACTAATACTAATAATAATAATAAAGAAGTTGGAAGGGACCTTGGAGGTCAACTAGTCCAATCCCCTGCTCAGGCAGCAAACCCTATACCATTTCAGACAAATGGCTGTCCAGTCTCTTCTTATAATCATAACAGATTTTAATTTTTTGAATCACATTCCTTCTCTTTCTTGATAACAATTTGCTTATTCTGGAACAGGCTTAATTGTCAATTGATCAATTTTTATTAGGTCACAGACCAGCAACAGGCTTAACATATATTCTATTGAACAAGCCTATGTTTACTTATCTAATTCATTTTAAGAGGTTTCAGCACAGAATTGCCTTGGTGACAAAATAAACTCACTCTCATATAAAGGTAATTTAGCAACTCTCAAGTGAGTTGGAATCCTATTGAATCTCGACTTATTATTGAACTCCAACTAAGCACATATGAACGGCTGCTTGAGGTTGCATTCCTTTTAAATATTATCTTCATGCAGAAAAACAGGCATATTTGAATGAGGTTGTTTTGAATTTGTGAGTGCATGATGGGTTCATTGCTGTAAAGAATATTATGCATCAGAAGATCCTCATCATGTAATTGTAGAAATGCCAACCACACTGGAATCCACTGTGAAAGTCTAACTGAAGTTATATACGATACAGGCAATCCTCAACTTATGACCACAATTTTTATTGCTAAGCAACGCTGTTGTGAATTTACAATCTTGTTTTGCCATTGTTGTTACATGAATCACTGGAACTGGTAAGTGAATCCAGCTTCCTCCATTGACTTTGCTTATCAGAAGCCAGCTAGGAAGGTCACAAATGGTGAGCACATGCCTTGGGATGCCTCAACCATCAAAAATACATGTGGGTTGCCAAGTGCCCGAACTCTGATCACATAAGGGGATGCTGTGACAGTTATTAAGTGCGAGCAACGCTCATAAGTTACTTTTTTTGGTGGTGTTGCAACTTCAAATTGTCATTAAATGGATGGTTGTAAGTCGAGTACTGCCTGGATAGTATAGTCTACCTGTTTCTCCTGCTTTTAAATATGTCCTTCCCATTTTCAACTAAAAACAGTTTAGCTTCCCTGTATTTTTTCTGCTTCATGGGTTTCCCAATAATTAAGGATAGCAACATCATTTAAAAATATTAAAATCTTGCCATCAGAATACAGCTGTGCAGTATTTGGATGTGAAAGGGAGAATGTGTTTCAAATCTACTGTGGGCATGCTCGTGGCATCTGGCAACAGCTCCTTGAAGACGCTGCTCTTTTTTGCTAGGGCTGCCCAGAAGTTATACAATCCTAGGAAAATGTGTGTTGAGGTTGAGGTGTTACAGAAGTGGCAACAGAGTGGCTTTCAAATTTTCCATCCACATACTGCATACTTCCACTTCAAAGGAAAGGAAAATGGGAGTTGAGAAAATGGTAGCAATGCCTGCCTTATGGAACAGGATGAGTCTGCTGACCCTGCCGTGTTTTTCGGATCACGTGAAGGTTTTTTTTTTTTTTGTAGAGGCTCTTCCAATCTTTTTTGGTTTCTTTGCTTTACTGTAAGGCTGCCGTGTCTTTATTTTAACATTATATTATGTTTTTAAGTCAACATAAACCACTCTGGAAAGTCTTAATTATTGAAAAAAATGAAATATATCGATGAAATCTAGCAGGCGCTGCAGCAGAAGAGCAGGCCGAAGGATTGCCTGCCTGGTTCAGAGCCAAGGCCCAGGATACAAGGGCAGCCGAGTCCTGCTGTGCATGTAACAAGGCATTCAGTGTTTTGGTGTGTATGTACCTTGAGGGGGGAAATATAAAGCAAACAAAGAACACCTTAGCTTAATTAAAATAGAGTTTATTATTAGCTTCTTTTTTTTAATACAAACATGACAAAGGAAAGCCACCTGAAGATGTAGCATTTGTTTCAAAATTGAATTATAATCAATACCTGATGCCACAGACGGGCTGGTAGATTAAAATACTGTAATGAGACTAACAATTTGAGTGCTGCTGAACACTCAAGAAGCAAGCTTGGTTCATAATTAAATAGACAAAAAGAGTCAAAACTGTAAGAAGCACTGTCCAGTGGGATGTTTTAAAGTACAAACCACTTAGATATTGTGACCCAGAACTGTGAAGGCCTGTAATTGAGAATATGTCTTCTGTTCTTAAAAAGAACAATTTTATTTATTTTGAATTTCTGTTTTTAAAGAGCAAATTTAGTATGTAGGAAAAGCCAATATAATTTTACTTCAGAATAAAGATAATTAAATGCTAGGTTTCTAAGGAAAAATAATCCATTTTATGAATTGAGAACAACCGTATCTCCCTCATCAGGATCAGAGTGTGACAGTGGAATTTAAAGCTAGTTGGAAGCATATAATAAAAGCAGTTATATATTTACTGTTTGTAGTGGAAGAATTTAGCTGAGTAGCTCATCACCAAGTCAACACATTTGTTAGGGATTTCAGGGCAATTCTATTCAGCCTTCAAGAAAAGAAAGTGTATTATCAATTCTGTCTCTTCCACAACTTAACTAGGAGCACATAAGATGCACCAAAACTGACAAGAAATAGACCCTGAACCACTAGTTTACTTACTAGCAAATACAGATCTTCACTCCTTTGCTCCTCTCCCTAACATTTCCTTTTGCCGCGACAATCTCAAATGAAGAGATTTTGTTTACCCTTAGCATATACTACTCAGCAACTCCTTGTCCCAAATTGACCACCAGTGTACCAATAACTAGGGAAGTTTGAAGTGTGCATACTGAAGGAGGACAGGGGAGAGAAATCTTTGCTTGCTAATGCCACGGCATCAGTTCCAGAATGACGTTTCGCCGTATTAGCATGAAGGTTGTTGCACTGACTTGGAAAGGCAACTGCAGTTGGGTCCTGGATTACTGAAGAGGAAAGAACATCGTGACTATTTTGTTAATGTTCAAAGTCTAAGTTTTAAAACTAGTCATTATTTAAAATGCAGAGAGTTCACAGCTATAGGCCTACATAGTAAGCAAACATCTGTGGATAGAGGAGATTAGTGAGGAGAAAAGGGAAAAAAGACCAATTAAAAGTTTCTGCACCTCTGGATTTTGAAGGGAATGTGCCCCTTTGACAAAGTTCCATCTTTTCTTCCCTGTGGAATTAAACTCCTCCTCCGGCTCTGAACTTCCTTGGTTTATTTGCTCACCCTGTCCTCCATGTGAAAGACACAATCACTGTTGACTGGTGAACTTGGAGGGAAGGTGTTATTCCACTTGTAAGGATGCTGGTGCCAGTGTTGTAGCTTTCCTTCTTGATCAAGAGAGGATGGCATTAGAACGGTGAATGCCAACTAGGTTATCAGCACTGAAGGACCGTCTCATAGCAGCCTTTGACAAGTCTTTGTATTTGTCCTCACACAGCCGGGAGATCGCCTACAAAACATTTGTTTTAGTGTTATCGGAGCCAGAAAGATTCTGAACTGGCATTAATATAGCTGCATCACCTATGTCTTCACCAGCAACCATAATGGCGTTTTAAATTGAAAAAAAATCCATATGCTTGTATTAACATTTCCCCCCTGCAAAGAATGATCAAATAACCAGGTTTTTGAAAATTTGAAGGGGAAGCAAACGTGTGATTTGAGTTGTACCCTCCTGCATGAAGAATGAGGGAAGATGGGAAAAACACACCACTCTACATCAAGTTCGTATTGCATATGTATTCCCAAGAACTGGGAACTCTGTTTTGCTTTTTCAGGAACACCTCCCTGGAAACAGAATGAATGACATTTTTTTTTGTAAAATACCAAAGTTATCCTAACACAGAGAAACACTCAAGAAAACACATCAGCTCATTAGAATTTTTAAGGTACTTCCATATTGACTTAAGCATCAACATGGGACTCTTGAAGGAACTTGTATGCATGACACATCAAAAATACATTTTATAAGAATAGACAGAGATACCCACAGTTCTCCTACCATCACCACCTGTACTATAGCTGGGAATTTTCCACTACCTTTCCACTCTTAACGGTCATGTGTTTTTTCCCCCATGCTGAAATCAGTAATAATATATGATGCCAACACCCTTAGGGGGTAATGCGAAAGAACTTCCAGCAACTGCTCACAACTGGCCTAACTTGGAGATCCCATTTCAGCATTCTTTGAAGCTGACAAAGAAAGTTATGTACACTTAACTGGGAGCAAGTTATTACATATAATAGAAGTAAGTTCTCAATAGACACGTGAAGTCTTTATTACAAAAGTATTAAAGTCTCCCTAAAATGTATAGATTCATCAGGTGGTCATGTGCGATGAGATTTAAGTTGCATATTTCACATGTTCTTTGAATTTTGATGCTAACCTGGAGAATTACAGCCTCAAAAATGGTAAATGTAGAGAGCATCATAGTTGCTAGCTAATATTTTTAGATATGAAAAACTCTTATCTCTAGTGCTCATTCCTAGCCTTTTCTGCACTGTGGAAACAGGATGCACACCTGTCCTCAGAATGGATTATCTCTTTTATCAACCATTTCCTTAACTAAGATGTTAAACAAAGTCCCAAAAGCTTCATAAGTGATACTAGAGTAATCAATAGCCACAAAAACTGCTATTATACAAGCTAACTACCCTGCACAAAAGTCTCACACTATTACCTCTAATTTCTGTGCTCGCTCTTTACTAAGGGGCTCCAGCAGAAAGCACAGGTTGTTGTCATCTGCTAAGGAGCGTAGGTCAAAGTAGTATTTGGCATAAACACTGGCAGGAACATTGATATTGAACTGCAGCAGCTCCAAAAAGTGTCTTTCCATCTCATTCCTAGAGGAAAACAAGAGGATGACAGAAACACAGGATCAGGGCCTTTGGCTAAAGGCAAAACAAAGCACCCACCCAGCCTTTGGTAAAAAATGGTGATGTAGAGCCAAAGCATTTTTAAAGGAATAGAATTAATCTATTAATACAGTTAGAGGCAGAGCACTATTTGAATTCTGGTATTTTCAACTCATGAAAAAGATTACATTCTGCCATATATTCACTCTGTGGATGCCCTTTTCTTTATTAGAGTTTCATAAGCCCAGCTTTACACAATTCATACTACATTCTTATTCTTACAAGAACCTGCACTATAGTTATCAAATGAAAAGAATGATGGTGCTGTTGATTAGCTCTGAAGAACTTGCAGGCATTTTCACCAGATTCATAACAGGAAAGGGGTATGCTGAAGTAGGAGAGGGCCAACAAAAGAAGGAGGCATATCACCACGGCAACAAATGGATCTCTGAAGAGCTGCTGCTATTATTTTGGTGTATAAAGCCTCTCGAAGCAACATGGATTCATCTTCACAAATAAATAAATAAATAAATAAGCAAGCAGCTTTAGATAGGCAAAGGAGCTTTCTATCCTGAAACTCCTAAGAAATTACTTTATCAACCTTAGCTGGCAAAGGGAATTTTTTTAGTGGTGCTTATTTTGGCAAAATCCATCCTATATATTCATATCTGTAGGTCAGCACTTCTCAGGATGGACAGAAGCAATCTAAGACATCACTGATTACCCAAATTCATACAATATTTTAAAATGAACAGGGAGATAATACAGGTAGTCTTGAACTTACAACGGCAATTTGGCCTGCTATTTCTGTTGCTAAGCGATGCAGTCATAAAACCCAACTGCACTGTTTAACAATGGCAATCCCTACAGTCCCAGTTGCCTACAGTTCCAGCTGCCATCATCGTTAACCAAATCCCATGGTCATTAGGCCAGGCAACTTCTTGCCAACTTCCCACAACTGTAAGTCAGTGCATAAATGAAGTCAGAAAATTGCAAATCCCAAGCCAGCAAGCAGGTAAGTGGCTGCTGAATGAGGGAGGGAGCAGGAGGGTATGAGGGAGGGGTCTGTGACAATTTGCCGTGGCCAACTAGCCACAGCCAACTCCTCACGGCCAACAGTTACACTAATATCAAAAAAATGGTGGAATAGAATCATTAAAGAAAGGATGCAAAAGGAGGGACAGAATGAAATGTGAATGACAAAAATTAAAATGATTTTTTATTTATTTTAAATAATTGAATTATTAAATTGTCCCATAGCAAGTTGTCCTGGGGTTTGCTGCCTGTGGTGGGTTGGCCATGCAACTTGCCCCATTCCATGAGGAAGGGTTGGAGAGGGTAGGCAAGGGGAAGTGTGAGAGGTGCAAAGCAGGGAGTCTGTGTGAAGATGCCAGGGAGTGCACAAGAGGCACAGGTAGGTTTGGGTGCATAAGCGTGCAAGAGAAAGCTAGTGTCTATCAGCTCAAATGATGGAGCTAGATCTCAAACCCGCAGAATTCACAACTTGAACCCTTGACTATATCAAAATATCCATTTCTTGATGACCTACAAGAGGATAGAAAAGTAATTTTTCAGGTTTAACTATATTTGCTAGGGACTGAAAATAAAGCAGAATCAATCACCTAGATGCTACTCATGGTGAGAATAGGAGCTTTGTGTGGCTTGCTTTTAGAAGATAGACTGCAGTCCCATTAAATCTACTGCCAGAATTAATTTCCCGTTCATATGGTCATAAGGCTTATAGAAATGCAAATCAGATGATGTTTTGATGATCATCTCATCAGGACTTCATTTATCCCCTTTGTTCAAGACTTGCTAATACATTTTAATTGTGAAAAAATACAATAGTTTTGTCAGATAACAACTCTATTAATAGATTTAAAGCCTAGGAAAACAAGAAAGGCCCTTGTTTTATTCCTATGACGTGCAATTCAATAGCAGGCTCCCTTTTTACACCCACTGTAATCTACAGAATTAGCAATTAACTAAATGTATTCCTCTCCATTCTTATTAAGATAGTCCACTAAAGATCTATATACGAGAGGTACATACATTTGCATCAATTTCCTAATTTTATATTTCTTGCTGCAAAATCAGAAATAACATACATTGTACAAGGACAGTTCTGATGCATAATTTTGTTAGTCAAGTTATAACTTTTTCACCCCGAAATCTACCCCCTTCAAATCTATCAACCTTCAAATACTCATTCCCATCCCATCCAATATCTCTTCACTTACATACTATTATATCACGTTTATGTATTGTCACATGTATATGACAATGTGTATGTATGTCATGTGTATGAAAATATTTTCCTGAGAAATGATGAAAAATACACCAGGCCCAGTCTCCAGTACATTACTGCAGGGGTTCCCAACCTCTGTATCGCAGCCCACTAGTGGGCCGTAAGCTGTTTGCAACCAGGTTGTGGAAATGACAGATGAGAGCACACACATCCCCACATGCATGAGCAGCAGGTGAGCGAATCCCCCTTTCCCCTTTGCTGGTCCGCAAAGCCAGAAAGGTTGGGAACTCTATTGTATAATCCAGCATATTTCCTCCCACTTGTCCCCAATCACACTAGTATATATAGCAATTTAGCTTGAAGAGAATCATTCTGGAACAGGGCTTTTCAACCAGTAGTACGGGTACCACCTGTGGTACATTGGCACCTGGCAGGTGGTACGCGACCATCCTCGAAAAGTGGTAGCAGGGGAGGGGAATGAGCTGAACTGGTGGCAGCGCCACATAAGCCTGAACAAGAGACAGCTGGAGCTGCACGGTATCAGGGCTCAGCGGAAGCGCCAGGATCGCCGCTTCTTCGGGGCTGTCAGGGCTCAGTGGAAGCGCCAGGATCAGCGCCAGGCTCCAACTGGAGCTCAGAGCTGATCCTGGCGCTTCTGCTGAGCCCAGAAGAAGCGCCGATCAGCTGGAATGTTGCAGCATCTCCAAGGTCTTGTGATTTACATTCAGATGCTTGGCAGCTGATTCATATTTATGACGGTCACATTGTCCCAGGGTCATGTGAAGTGACCAAAACCTGCTGCAGCCACCCAGCAGACGGGGGGAATAAAAACCAAACATCCCCCCACCCCACCCCTGCTGCTCAACAGAAATGCTCACAACAATGAAAACCTCGGAGAGGAGGAAGAGCACCACCGAGTGGGCAGGCAGGTGTCTTGCTCGGCTATGGCTTGGCGGGGGGCCCTTTTTTCAGTGCCATTGTAACTTCGAACAGTCACTAAGCGAACTGTTGTAAGTCGAGGACTACCTGTACTTTTATCACTTTTTTCCCTTTTTTTTTTTTTTGGTCATCAAGCTTTTGACACCTTGCTAGGCGACTGGTGGTACTCGGATGTTGCCATATCCTAAAAGTGGTACGATGGGTGAAAAGGTTGAAAAGCCCTGTTCTAGAAGCTTCCATCCATACCCTAAATGAAATATCCCACTGGACAGGACAGTTCAGGAGGACTGCAGCTGGATAAAATAGTCTCCTATTAGCAATCCCATCTCACAGTGCAGTTTAAATGCTAGATTTATTCAAGCATAGCTACAGAAATTCTATCTTATCAAGTTAATGAATAAAAAGCAGAATTCTTCACATGCCTGCGGTGATGCTTGAACATGAAATCCCAAAATGTTTTGATATCTGTGATCCCTCAAAAGTGCTTGTAAGTGGACCTTACAGGATTGGACCAAGTACCAATAAAGATTAGTTTCACTGGTTCAGGAGAGGTTTTTTGTAGTTTACTCTGAGTGGGGTAGTAGACCAAAGTGTAAGGTTTGATCATGTGATCAAACATAATTTGTATGAAAGTAGAACCATGTTGTCAAAGAACATCTCCCTTAAGGCCACTATTATCTCTCCAAAATTCAGAAATTTTTGGAGTTTTAAGATGAGAGCCACTTCCATTTATGTTCTTAAATCCCTCTCCCAAAAAAGCTTTTTGAAAAACACAAAGGAAAAGCTCCCTTCTTTCCAATAATACTGTCATTGCTTCTTGCAATCTTTCTAAAATGTCAGGAGGCAAAAATGTGGGAATGACCTCCTAAATGTTGGCTTTTCCGTGCAGATTTTATTTTAGAGATTCTATCATCAAACTATCCCTCTGCTCCTCCCTTCTGAGCTTTGTTTAAAAAAAAAAGGTTTTTTTAGTATAATGAATCCACTATTTCCTTTTATCAATCAATATTTTAAAATTATTTTATATTACCTTCAAATTTTCTTTTTGTCAATTAGCAAAGGCATAAATATGAAGAAAACACGTTACAAAAGTGGTGAGGAAGAGAGAAATGTAGTATCTGAGAAGCTGAGCAAATCATGATGAATCGAATTTTGGGGATGTTCAAGTAATACACTCACCAAGGATGTTGGATACCTAGCTACAATTTTAGAATGCAATATCTATACAGTATAGATAGGATATTTTTATATAAAGAAAAATATTAAAAAGATACAAGCTGGATAAGACATGGGCAAGCAATTTCAACTAAATTTGCTATCTTACATGTCTTCCACTGTAATATCCTTCAGGATTTGGCAGTAATCCACATTCCATACAGCTTGATCATCCCACACTTTAGAAGCCAGCAGTATAGCACCTAGGACTATCCTCTTCCAGTTACTTGGACAGATGTCAATCTCTGCATAGGTCAAGAGTCTTTCTAAGTAAACCTGAAAATAAAGAACATTTGCACATTTTTAATGATTCATACTTTCTAGCTTCTTATAGTGCCTCTTAACCGGAAGTCTGTTGCAACCTATGGATGTAAGAAGTGGCTCTCATACTTTCTTTGTGGATGACACAGATAAAGAAAATCTCAAAACTGTATTTTTCAATATTGTTTGCCTACATTGGGTGAGTCACCATGGCTTCCCCCTACTTTCAAATGTACACTGCAAGTAAGCAGCTCAGCTCTATGGCAGATCTGATATAGCTTTTTGCAGCAGCTTCTTGGGTTGGAAGAGAAAGGGAAAAATGTCAAAGAGAGAGAGAATGGACACCGACATGCTGCTTAGACTTCCCCCTGCCACTGCACATCATTATTCTTTACTGATATTTCCAATATTTTTTCTAAAGAAAAGCGACTCAACTGAAATTCTAACCCACAGGCATCAGAACTTTGATTTTAAACTGATTAAATAGCACATACAATCAACTTCATTCTAGACAGAAAATTGTTTCAATGTTTTTTAAATAAACAAATATTCCTTTTAAAGGTGCCAGAACCAATTACTTCAGCAGGTGCCACCACTTGGCTGACTCTCTGTGCTCATAACTAAAGCAGGACAGACTGTTTTAATACTTGGACAGGAGATCTTCACAGATCCCAGGGTAGGTAGTCAGACTGGAAAACTGACAAGCAGTCTAGAAGAAATCAGTGTTCAACCACTTCTGTACTGTGGCCAAGAAAATGTACAGGGACATCCATAGCTGCCGAGAATCAACTGAAAGAAGAATTATATGGCTGAGTATTAGTAGTCTCTGCCTGGGGACTATCACTTCCCGGGTTCACTGTATATTCTGTATGTCCAAGATTTTAGACTCCACTGAGTTCAACTTACGATGTTTGTTGTTCCACTGAAAGGGCAAGGTAATGAACAGAGGAAGTGATCTCAACCAGGCTTATAGGAAGTTACTGTCATGAGACTTTCCTGTAGACATTTTTACATTGCTAAAAGTTTTCTTCATTTCCTAAAAGATAACTATTATTTAATTATATTCACTGTGTGCCCAATTATTAGGCAAGTTGTATTTTGGGGAATTAATTTTCTTATTGAATAACTACAGTGTTCTATCAAAAAATATTAATAAACCTCAAACTGAATATTTAAGAAAGTAAAAGTGAGATTTTCGCTTTCTTAGGAGAATATCTATGTGTGCACAATTATTGGGCAACTATTAGTGTGCAGAATTATTATGCAACTAAATGAAAAATGAAAATTTGTCCATCTCACTTGTTTATTTGCATCTATTAAAGTGAGAATAAACAAAACTCAAAATGTACAAATAAACACTTCTGACATTTTAAAAAAAATCAGTGACAGTTTCTTGATTCTGCTGACGATCAATGTTTTGTGCAGCAGACCCTGTTCAGAGAGGTGTACTGTTTTCCTTCATCATAAATCTCCCATTTAAGAAGGACCTACAAGTTCTCAATAGGGTTTAGGTCAGGTGTGGAAGGGGGCCATGTCACTATTCTTTCATCTTTACCAGCTAGCCATGCAGTGGAGTACTTAAATGCATGCAATGGAGCATTGTCCTGCATAAAAATCACGGTCTTCTTGAAAGATGCAGACTTTTTCCTGTACCACTGCTTGAAGAAAGTGTCTTCTAAAAACTGGCAATAGGTTTGGGAGTTGATTTTGAGTCCATCTTCAACCTGAAAAGGTCCAAATAGCTCAACTTTAATAATACCAGCCCATACCAGTACCCCACCTTCATCTTGTTGGCATCTGAGTTGAAGTGGAGCTCTGTGCCTGTTACTGATCCAGCCACGGGCCCATCCATCTGGTCCCTCAAAAGTCACTCTCATCTCATCAGTCCATAAAATCTTTGAAAAATCTACGTTCAGATATTTCTTGGCCCAATTAACTTATGTGTCTTGTTCAGTGGTGATTGGATTTCAGCCTTCCTTGCCTTGGCCATGTCTCTGAGCACTGAACAGCTTGTACTTCTGGGCGCTCCAGCTTGGTTGCAGTGTTGGAATATGACAGCAGTGGAGGATAATGGGTTCCTGGTAGCTTCACGTTTGAGTCTTCTCAAATCTTTGGCAGTTAATGTGAGTCTTTTTTTCTCAGCACGTTTCTTGCAACCCTGTTGACTATTTACAACAAAACGTTTGATGGTTGTGGGATTATGCCACAATATGTTAGCAATTTCAAGAGTATTGCATCTCTCTGAAAGACTTTTCACAATTTTTGACTTTTCAGAAAGAGTTAAATCTCTTTTTTGGCCCATTTTGCCTGAGGAAAAGAAGCTGCCTAACAATTATGCACACCTTGATATGGGGTGTTGATCTCCTTAGGCCACACCCTCCCTCATTACACAAATACACATCACTTGATATGCTTATATCCACTAAGCATTCAAATTTATATAGCTTGGAGGCGGACAATATGCATGAAAATGTTGATATGGTCAAAATACTCACTTGCCTAATAATTATGCACACAGTGTAGTTTCTTCTTCCTTAAAATTAAATCTGAAGTTTAAAAAAAATTAGAACAAATACCAACTAGGCAGGAACATGTTTTTTTTCTCTTTTAGTATGTTTATGAGACAAAAACACACCCCCTCAACTGAAAAGCCTACAACTTCCGCAATAAGCACTTTTATAACAGTAAGATGTGTTAAGCAATCTACCTTCTTATCACTCTTTTCCTATTACCAAATTTTGCTGTTTTGGTGATAAAACACTGCCAACTAGTGGCAGAAACATTTTAAATATATATTTGAGACTATAAGAATGGATTTTTTGTAGTTATAACTCTTTTAGAAGAATTCCCATATAAGAGCAGAAACTGCAAATGGATTATGACCCACCAATGCCATAATGAAATAATTTGTCTGTAGGGCCACACAAGGCATGGGTAATTTTGTTGTAAGAGATAACAGCATCATACAGAATTTTTTACCTGCAGACATCCAGAATGTAGAACAAAGATTACATTAAGATTACATTGATGTTGTTTCAACATGAAAACAACAACTATACTGTAAAGCACTAGCATAAAAAAGCCGAACTGTTTACCTAGATTTGTGAAAGATGTTGAGTAGATACCTCCAAAATAAATTCCCTACGGCCATAAGCATCTATTTCACACATGATGCATTTTTTCTTTTATTTAATTGTATCTGATTCTAGACAAGTCCCTTCGGTTTTTGTGGCAAGGTCTTTGGTAAGTGGCTTGCCACTGCCTCCTTCCCATGACATTAGTGGCATCTTTAATGTTGAGATATGGTTCAGGCTGGAATCTGTTTGGGCCCCAAGTCACTAGGCAGCATTGGCTCTTTCTATATATTTAATGCTGACAGTATATAAGACATCTTTAATTAAATGCAAGACAATCATAATTAAGCAAGACTTACCAGAGTCACTATTGCACATTCAGCTGTCAGCTGTGCTGCACTAAAAAGGGTACGTACAAAGCGATAAATGTGCTTGTGATCAGGATCATGCTTACAGTAGTCTTCTGGAACCTCTTCTCGCTGAAACGTGATACAATTTGGAAGTACTTTAAAACTTCTATTAAAAAATAGTTGGACTGAGTACTGAGCAAACATAAAGAATTATACTCTTGAAGCTCTTGTCTTGCTTACTACAGCAGGAAGATAACTCAATATCTCATTTTTAAGAAAAATAGAACATAGAATACAATATAGATGTGTGTGTACACACACACACACACACATCTATGTATATAGATGTATTGTTCTATATATAGATATATATAGTATACAAATAGCTGTCCTAGTGATGTCCTAGAAATTGTCTTTAGTTGTTCTGCTATTTGAGCCATGTAATCCCTCTATTCCTTGCAGTAGGGACCACATACAATACTTTGATGCTTCTGCTGGAGAAGATCTGGGATCTGTTTGCCTAGCTCCTATTGGCCACTTAGATTTGCTGCAGGCCCTCTCATCTGGCTGCTGGGCCTTGAAAAAGAAACCTGCCTCTTTTCAAATGGGAAAAGTCCTGCAGCATCCCAGAGAGCTGTATTCTAATAGAATTTAAGGAGATTAAGAAATATGGGTAAGCTGCTTTATTTGCATGTTTGACTTCTTTTCAGACAAGGATTACAGAAAGACTGCAATTTTCTCAATGTAATTAAAGCTATGCTTTTAGCCTTCTGTAAGAAGATATACTGGAATCAAGAATAGAATCAAAGGTCCAAGGATGCTATTCTGCAGTATGTCTTAAAAATCAGGAGGTCAAATGTCTATCTGGATATGTTTAGACTAAAATGCTTCTTTGCACATCAGGAGAAAGAAAGCTAAAAATCCAACTTCACTTTTCTTGCATCTTGATTTGTCTTATAAATGGAAAAAGTATTACCATTTCAGAAATAAAAAATTAAAATATTCAAAAAATCAAGTGAGACTATGAATATAAAAGCAAACTGATTTACCGTGAGTGGATGTGATTTTTCATCAAAAATATCCAGTGATCTATCTGAATCCCTGCAACAAACAAACAGGAATGCCACTGGAATTAGTAAAGCTTGATCATCTTTTGCCCATAGTCTATGCCAAGGCACTATATTTTTTCTCCATCATCTTCTCATTTTGCTGTTAAATCCTAAATATTTAAAGCAAATATAATAAAATGTGTATTTCCTAGCTTTCAATGTTAGTTATTATCAGGGCTTTTTTTGTCATAGAACGCCAGAATGGAATCCAGCACCTTTTTTGGATGGAACCTTGTAGGTAGGCAAGGTGAGTTGTATGATGTGTGTGAGTTCCAGCACCTTTTTTTTTTTTTAACAAAAAAAGCACTGGTTATTATACTTATTACTTTTGATCAGGTTAAGAGTTTACATGAGGCCTTGGTTTTCGAATAGGATTTAGAAGTATAGAACATGAAAACTTGGTTGTAATCTAAAGGATGATATATAATGCAACTCTGCTCTATATATATGTTAGTCAGGAGTGAAATTTCTAGTTAACAGAAGAAAAGAAAGCAGGAGTTCAACGGATGAAAACTTTCCAGGACATAAAAGGAAATCAGTCACCTGCAGACTTCTAGGATCATAAGTGATCGATCAGACTGTGTTAGAGTTCTGATTTTCTTTTAGATGCCCTCAAAGCCTTTTTCTATCAGTCACAATTTCCATTTTGGATGAACTTAACTACAGTTTTGCAGCTTATTTTGTAAATCTGGAGAGGAAGTAGCCAAAATCTCATCTGAGCAAATTTGACACAGAGTCGAAACCAAGGTGTAAAAGCCACCATAAGGGGCATAAACATCCAAGCTCAAAATGCTTCTTGTGAAGACCTTTTAGAGCCTCAGTCTTTTCTCATAATTTGTGACGAATACAAGCCCTACACTCAGCCAGATACTGACAGAGCTAGACCCGATGAGTCACTGTGTAGTCTATATTTAAGAAACCCCCTTCACTCCTATGGGACTATCTGCAACATTCTGCAATGGAAAAATGACTTAAGCAATATGCATAATATATAGCTTTTCTTCCCCACTTACGCAGCTGCTATGCATACAGAAGATACCAGATAACTATCTTCAGATAAAGGAAGTCTTTTTAAAATGGTTCAGGGCAACCAGTATGCAGCATTTTTATTCAATGGCTTCCATCTCATGGGTTTTTACAGCCAATTCTCCATTATTTAAGGATTGAAATTCAGCAAGGAATTTACAATAGCATCATTTAAAAAAACATGAGAAAGATTAAATCAAATTTCCCAAACATATTTCTTCCTCTCTCCCATAAGCCATATTACTGTTTTACTGTATTTCATTTTAAAAATTAGACTTTGCATCTCTGACTTACTGCATGTGCAATTTTGCATACTTTCTTCCTTCTGTTTAAATATCTAAACATTATTTCTTTAAAATATGCTTTGTAAGGTTATGATAAGACTATTGGAACCTGAACAGACCACGTGTTGTTCTTCTTTGTGGTCTTGTCCCATTCCAGCTGATGCTCCCAGCCCACTCTCACAATAACAAAGGGGCAAACAAAAATAATACCTTTGATTGAAATATTGAAGGATGGTCTGGAGATTTAAGTACAGTATTTTATTTTCAGTAAGCAAATGTGAAATAACTATGGTTAACTTTATAAGATCAATTATATATCTGTGTACTACCTATGTTATTTAATTAATCCTTCATTTACACAAAGAACACCTAATTTAATAAGTGCATTATATAGAGGATGATGATCAGTCCATCAGCCTTTCCTTCAATTCTAATTCCCAAGTAAACACTTCCTAAATGGGTTGGTCCATACCTCTGAAGATACCACAATTGAGGACATGCATATATTTAATCTTAGCTATTTACAGGAATTTAGCATTCACTTTTCAAATGCCCAATCTTTATACGTTTTAATATATTTAAAATTAAATAAATTCATTTCAAAAAAGCAAAATGTTGGATTTTTGTATCTTAAAATTGATTTATGTGTGGCCTTTGGCTGTAATAAATTGATATTTGATATCTTAAAATCTAGGTTAAAATGATAGCTTACTCAAAAGTCTTAAGAGTTTTACATTTTCTCAAAGTATGTCCTTCTTCCTATCTTTAGACATCAGCTCATATCAAGTTATTCCACCATTGTTTGAAATTATTATTCTTTTAGATCAGTACAAAATATAGAGAAAATATCAAGATACGCTACAATAGAATAATAAAGTTACTATAAACAATTCCTACAGTTAAAAATAATTTTTAAAAATGGGAAAAAAGGAAAAGAAAATCTTTTTATGGGAATCCCAATATAACAAAACAGGCCAACATATCAGTCATAGCTCTTGATATCTTAAGAGCAAGTAGCAAAATTACAGACTGCATCTTTACAAAGAATTACAAGCATGATCATTACAAGCAATTTTAAACAAGAAATTTTAGAAACGCTCACCTGTTCTTTATGTGATAGTATATTGCTAAAGTAACACTGAAAAGAAGAGGTCATTTAATTAGAAGCAAAGCTATGAATGTAATTTTGATACATCATTTGTTAGATAAAGAACATTTTTAAACCCACATCCTATTTGAACTTTAGTTCTCTCCCATTTCCCATTTCCCCCTTTCACCTTAAATTCTAAAGCATTGGTTTAGAACAGAATATTGTACACGTCCAGGTTTAATAGACGTTTATAGAAGGTTAAAAATTATCCTATTCCAAATAAGGGCCAATATAAAACTGTGAACAAGCATGAATCTTGATACAGTCAAAGCACCCAAGAGTCTAAACTGTTTGGATATCAGCATGCACTCCAGGGTACATTAAGTGGAGGAAAGAATGCCTTAACTGAGTGGCTTCGAAGCGATCAGATCCAAGGGTCAAAGTATCTCAGTGAAGTTATGAATTCAGCATTCACTGAGCAGAGTAATTCTCTAATCTGCAGGATCCGATCCGGGTTGGTCACCTGGAACCGGAGGCTTTGTCTTCCAAGCTTTCAGGCTCATGCTGGAGCCCCCATCCCCTCAGGGAGCCCCTCTCTAGAAGATTAAAGTCCTCCTGAGAGGATGGGGACTCCAGGACAAGAGTCCGAAAGCTTGGAAGACAAAGCCTCCAGTCCCAGATGACTGACCCAGATTGGATCCTGGAGCTTATCCTGGGACACGTATATTCGCCTTAATTCTCTAATCTCCCCAACTCAAAGGCTCCAAATTATTAATATTTATAATTTATTGAATTTGTCAGAGGTAATATTCGAATAAAATTTAGAAAAGGGAATTAATTTCACTTCATTTCGTTCACTTGATTTAGGCACAGCCTAACTCCAATTCATTTTGAACACGATAGGACCTCCCTGCAAAGGGCTAAATCGATTTGCATGGATTGTCCTGCCAGGTTGACAAAGGTCAACGAACAGTATAAGGCACTTCTAAACAAAACTTAAACTGGGTTGAACTTGTGTACAGCTGGTTCCCAACAAAACTGGAAGTTAGTCTTAAGATCCTGTTATGGAAAAAAGGAGAATAAACTCCAATCTTTTCCCCCTAAATATTGCTACATTGATAGTTGAGACTCAGATGCATCATCCTTCAAGTATGTCATAACTGAAATGCTTTACAAATTACACTTAAAAGTGTCTTAGTTCCAAGCTTTAGCAGTTATTTCAGTTAACACTAGAGGAGATATTTCTGACACATTCTTTTTTTTAGATTTTTATTCTTTTTTTCATATAGAGCTCAAGGTAGCAAATATACCAATATTCTTCCCTCCTCGTATTTTCCCAAAACAACTCTGTGAAGCGAGCTGGACTGGGAGAGAGTGACTGGCCCAAAACACCCAGCCATCTTTCCTGCCCAAGGTAGAACTAAAATGCACAGTCTCCTGGCTTGTAAACTGATGCCTAAACCACTAGACTAAACTGGCTCTCTTCTTCATATTCTCATAGATTATTTATTATAAATGTATAATTATATATTTTTAATAAATATAATACAGTACAATACAATACAAAATATGCAGGTACTCCTCACTTAACAAATGTTAATTGGGACAGGCAACTCCTTTGCCAAGTGATGCGGCTGTAAAGCATGGTGTCATATGACTGTGCTGACTTACAAAGGCAGTTCCACTTGTGGCCATCAGGTAAATCCTGCACAGCTTCAACTCTCTCTCCCCCCCCCCCAAGTTGACTGCCTGTGGGAAGCTGGCAGGGAAGGTCACAAATACGGGAGGAATCAATAATTGTGAGCTGATAATTAAGGATCCAAATCATAACAACATGACCATGGGGGCACTGCAATGGCTTCAATTATAAGAATTGGTCATAAGTCTTCTCATTCAGTGCCACCGTAACTTTGGACAGTTGTTGAATGAGGTCTATCTGTAATATCAATACTATTTAAATGAGTTAATCTTATACAAAATAGGCCTTCGTTTGGGGTTCAGAATTAACTATACTAGTCCTGTTTTCCCTGCACTGCAGGATTCTATTTGCTTAGGCTACTGTAAAGTTCAGGTATTTAAAGCAAAACTTGAACTTCTTCTAAACTATGAGCTAATAATCTCTTCCCTAAAATGTGAGGATATTTAACGAATTTCAGCCAAGAATATATTGTTCTGAATTAAATATCTTAAGGTTACAAATCAACAATGATACATATCTTTGAAAATGGTCAAAGATAAGAATAGGAACAATAGGATTAGAAATCAGTATCAAATAAACAATGAATAACAGGGGTGGGGGGAATAAAATATTAGCTGTATCCCCACTTCCCAAATTTAGAGGACTTTGGAATCAAATTGATGGTAGCATATAGATGTTGCTCTACCAATACTGGGAATAAGGGGGAAAAGAAATCTGTTTTAGCCTATACTGATCTACCACTTCCTCTAGATTTGGTATGAATTTTTCTTGGATTTGCTGTTATTCATAGATTAAAGTGAGTTTAATCCAATATAACCTCACACAAAGTGATACATACCATTTTATTGTGCTCCTAAGATTAGGTTGGCTGACGGTGCTGTCATCTATAAATATAGTTGAACATGAACTATACTTTTTTGTAAGCTGCCCCGGGGAAACCTATGTGGAAAGAAAAAATATATATAGGAGTTTGTAAAAATGTTTCAAAACCCATGATTTCTGGGTTTAATCAGGATTCAGTACTATGCATGTTAGAATCACATAGACAATATTATTAACTAGAACAAAAATATATGAATAGAATAGAATAGAGCTGGAAGGGACCTTGGAGGTCTTCTAGTCCAGCCCCCCGTTCAAGCAGAAGAACCTATACCATCTCAGACAACTGACTGTCTAGCCTCTTCTTAAAAATCTCCAGTGATGGAGCGCCCACAATTTTTGAAGGCAAGCTATTCCACTGGTTAATTGTCCTCAGTGTTAAGATTTCTCCTTAATTCTAGATTGCTTTTCTCTTGGTCAGTTTCCAACCACTGTTTCTTGTCCTGCCCTCTGGTGCTTTGGAGAATAGTTTGACACCCTCTTCTTTGTGGCAGCCTCTCAAATACTGGAATACTGCTATCATGTCGCCCCTGTTTCTTCTTTTCTTTAGACTAGCCAAACCCAAGTCCTGCAGCCTTTCTTCGTATGTTTTAGTCTCCAGGCCTTTGATCATCTTAGTTGCTCTTCTCTGAATTTTTTCCAAACTCCCAACTTCTTTTTTGTGATATGGCAACCAAAATTGGCTGCAGTATTCCAGGTGTGGTCTTACTAGAGTTTTATAAAGCAGTACTAATACTTCACGTGATCTTGATTCTATTCCTCTGTTTATACAACCCAGGATTGTATTAAGGAGGGCATTTAAATAGCTGACCTGAGAATCAATAAGATAGCAAAAAGAAAGCAAAAGAAAGCAAAAAGGAATATTTTCAGCAATGGCTTGTGGTGATATAAACACCAGTGGACACCACTATTTTTCTTTTCTTGGTACCTGTTTTTCTTTTAAAGACTACCTGGCAAAGATAAAGAAAAGAAATAAGACTTTCCAAGTAATAAAACACATGGCAGAAATTTGTTTGATCATTATGTTGAACACATCAGCACTTGTCGAAATATCAGGAACAAATTCATTGAGGTTTCAGAGAGAAACCACAATGGAGTGAATCACTCTCCCAGTCCCAGCTCAGATCAAGATCCATTTGTTGCTATTTTAAAAAGGGTAAAATTGATGTGACTATGTATTTAACATTTAATACATCTTCACATCAAAGCAAGGGGAAACAAATGTAGTTAATGCAGCAAGAATAGATCAAACATTGGTATTCAAATCCAGGAAAGACTCATCTGTAAAAGGGAATGCTACATACTAACAGCAGTGAGATGACTGAAACCTTGCAGATGTTTCCCCTATCCGCAATAACACTTTTACATTTGCAGAACAAGATAGATTCTCCAAACCCCTTTGTTTCAAAAACAAAAACCGAGTGACAAACTCTGGTCTACCTGTTCAGACTAAGATCCAATTAATCCAAAATTCCTTGTTGGAGTTCTTAGCAATTCAGAGGCCTTGGGTGAGCTATTTGATATATCACTAGTCTGCTGCCTCTGTGTGTTTGAGAACCCTAGGTGTTCTATCCTACTCTGGCAGCAAATTATCTTTGAAACAAATTGGAAGGAGAAGTACTGTACATAAAATTTATTGTGTCACTTTTAGTAGACAGCACTCATACAGAAGGCCCATGGCAAGGGACACAGTGCCACTAATTCCATAAATCATACAGATGTCCTTATTACTATTAAAGCATATATGAATGTGTCACAGCCTTTTACAGAGGTGGCGTTGCCTTTAAGTTTGTCTTTCCTCATGGCAGCTGCCAGACAAATCCATTCAGTGGTTTTAGCAATATTTTTTCAGAAATAGTTTGCCACGGTACTCTTTCCAGGGCTTGGGAGAGTGTAACTAGATTTATTAAAACTGAAGCACCAATTAGGTCAAAATAATATGCAGCAGCCCATTATTCTTAACTGGATTTATTCTGCTAAAGGGGATTTTTGAAAAAAAAAAATAATTGTATTTTCATTAAGTTAATTATTCAAACCAAACATGCACAACTTACGGTGTGCATCGTCTTTGCTAGAAAGCTTGGATATAAGCTTGTCCTACACCCACCTGTTGCCGTATGCTATTTAACTTTCTCCTGCTGTTCTGAAATAAAATCTATGGCTTTTCCTAGCAATAAATAGGAATAAGAGGAGTGGTAATGGGACTATTCTTCCTCTATAGCTTTAAAACTGTGAGTAGGAGTAGAACCGTTCTTCTCAGCCAACTGCATCTTCAAAGGTATCTTATAACTATCACAAAAGTAAGAGAAAGAGAGAGAGATAAACTCTGCGATGAAGTCTGGTTGTATGACTTGAAACCTCTTCTACTCCATTGACCAGAAAATAAAATAAAAAAAAATCATTCTATAGAGAAACAAGAACTATGAACTATTTTTTTTATTTACTCCTTTCACAGCTATTGTATGTACTTACATGGTTAATGTGGTTGCTCTTTCTCTTCTCTCTCACTGAAAAAGGAGAAACAAGTTCAGTCAATTTGTTTTTTAAATTCTATTTTAAAAGCACTTGTTTAAAGTTTTTCCTTTCTACACATTCAACCTTGACAATATTTTGGGACTATCTGAGAATAATTTAAAATCATAAAAAACGTAGTGAGGCAATTTGTTTTTTCTTTTTTTTTTCAAAAAACTTATTGCACCTAGATATTAAAAACACATTTCATGGAATAAATACCACTCAGTTCCACAGAACCAATTCCTTTTTTGTTTGTTTCTTAGATCAGGGGAAATAGCAATAATTCATCCTGTGAATTAGAGCATCTACTGATTCAACCATTTATTTTACAATGATAACATATAAAACAAGCCAATAAATAAATAAATAATCAACTGCACTGTTTCTATAAAAAGACTCAATGTCGTGAAAGATTTATAAATACTGGTTTAGAAAGGTGGAAACATGATGTTACATGACCATCAAGGATGAACATTAATATAAAATTATCTCCGTAAACGTTAGCATGTTAATTTGACCTAATTCAAGCTAGACTGAATTTTTTTCCCACTAGGAGGAAATGAGCTGACAGAAGTAACATCTTCTGAAGGCAGCAAATCATACTTGCTAGGAATATTGCAAAAGGTGCTTGCTGAGAAAGTCTCTTCAATCACTGGTCATAAGATAACCACCTTCTACTCTCAAATATGGCACCCAGCCATTCTTAATTATTCTACGGAATGGGGAGTATTGAGAATGAATTAGGAGGATTAAAAAGAAACCGTCTGAGACAAACAGCTATGAGAAATGCAGTGAAGAGCAAGCAAAAATGTTGAAGCAAACAGCATTTTGACAGATATGGGAAGGAATTAAACACCCACTCCATCTCTTCCCATCCTCTTTTTTAAAGGGAGCAAAAATTAGCTTACCATCTGTTTGGGATTTGCTCAAGAAAATTGTGCTTGCTCTAGGATGGTCAGATGGGTTTGACTCCAATGCTAAATCTGAAAGAAATACGAAGTGATACTATTCAGAAATGACTTTCTTTTTGGAAGAATAAACAACAGTGAAAACCCATTACATTACATTTTAAATCTATTTCTAGATGACCTCGGGATGTATTAATAAACAGTCCTAGTATTTATACATTGATCTCACATGCTCAGAGAATTAGACCTATATCTCAGAATCCTAGCAATAGCTCTAAACAGCAGAGATATTAGATTTAAAAGTAAACTGAATGGATAAGCTAATAGAATAAATTATATTTTCCAAAGAATCTCCAATAGCTTGACGTTCTTAATTTTCCATTCTGAGAGAAAACAAGTCAAGTGCTAAGTGCATTATCCTTTTTACTTAAATCAATGGTGTTTCCAAAAATTCAAAAAGCTGTTAAATGTATCAAATCTATAGTAATGGAAAATACTTAATGAAGAACCATAAAATAAATATGCTATCACCCTTATTATTTGTGATTGCCATGATCCCACCTTTAGTGGTTTTCTAAATCAATTATGGCTGGGCAAGACAGAGGAAGAGAAGCCACTGAAAGGAGGTTTAGTTTTAGTACGGTAATAGGCCTGCAGCTCCTGTAGCAGCAATATTGGCATCATGGTAGGTGAGGCCAGGCAAAGCAAAGCAAAGCAAAACTGGTTGTGTTGATTCACAGTAACCCAGAGATTGAAGTAACACTCAGGAAGAGTTGTACCGTCCTAATCCAACCCACAGCTGATGAGTTCATTACTCAATTACTACAAGGCAGACATTAGCAGAGCAAGAATCCAAAATGATTTCTGTTACGGGATTGCTAAACGCTCACATAAACAACATCCAGCAGTAGGCAACTCATAGTGCCAACTACGGAGAGTCACTAAATATCTACGGGATGGTGGAAGTGGTAGTATGGTCCAAATGCCTCAGATCTAACTGAGCAAATGGGAGCTTTGATATAATAATAATGGTGGATACTCTTTATTTGTTTGCTTCTGATGGCCAAATCCCTTTGGCATCACTTTCAATAGACAAATTGTACCCTCCCTATATCAGTCATGCAGGAAAGATGTGTTGATACTGCTAGCAATAAGCCCTGATATGTTTATTTCATCTCAGTAATGTACATATTTACCTCTCCATCACCATGCACTAGTTGGGTGAGACTATGGTGTTTGCTGCTGAAATTGCCAGCATCTCCTATGTGACAAAATGCAGGCTCATAGAGAAGGGACCTCCTTCACACCACATGCTATTTCTGGCTCACAGGGCACAATTGCTGCTGCTAAGATGCTCATGGTAAAGAACTGGGCAGCTATTATTGGTCCCAAGGTAATCTCTGAACACTAAGGTTTGCCAGGAATACTTTTATTGGTAAGTACCATAATAACGCTGGGTTTTTCTGTCATAGTATTTAGCGAAAGTTTAAGGACAAGCACTGCTGACCCTGACACCAGATCTCTCTGAATGTCTCTATTCAAAGGAATCACCTACATCAGAGGTCTCCAATCTTTCCGGGCGCAAGGACTGGAGGGAAGGAGAGCAGCTTCAAAATTGGTGTGTGTGCACACTGGCGCAGCAGTAGCATCCCTGTTCGCACATGCGGCATGCGCTGGTGCCATGTACGTGCACGAATGGCCACACCTCCCAGTGGCTAGAGGCGCATGTGCAAACAGGCTGCGGACACCCACCCTGTGCTAGCATCCCCGTTTGTGTCCACACACATGTGCAAATGGGGCCGTGGGCACTAGTGCGAGTGGAGGGGAAATGCGCACCCACGCACCCGGGCACCAGCCAGCCAATGCCACGGCCCACTGGCCAAGAGCCTGCGGCCGGATCCCTGGGCCGTGGACCATACATTAGGGACCCATGACCTACACTATCTGCTAAATACTAAAGCAGCTGTTTGAAGTGCAAGTAACCAGGCACGACATGTCAAAGTATATGGACATATTTCCTTGATCTTTTGAAAGGAAGAGTCATACATAGCCAAGGCAATTTCTTGTGTATGAAGAACCATTCTATTTTGCAATACATCTCTTAAAGACAGAGAGTGCCACTTAGAGCTATGGTTTCCCCCCCCCAACTGAAAATTCCTGAATGAACTCTTGAGAATGTAAGAACTTGTGTATGTTCTTATATATGCTCGCTGCCTTGACTTATTTATAAAAATATCAAAGGTGGAATAAAAATCTAATAAAACAAATAAATAATAAACTTTGACCGCCTGACTTCATACACTGCCAAAAACTATGGATACAAACAAGCACACCATATTTATAGGCTTAAGTGAGCCACGGTGAGGGGAAGCTAATTGACAATGACTAACTCCCTGCAATGACCACAATCTCCCCCTGCTTCTACAGAGACTTCCTGTCTATAAGAAATGGTCCAAGCTGAAGGAAAGAGATTAGGCTCCCTCCAGAAAGAGGGGAAATGCTCCATGCCCAGTAGCAACAGAAGTCAGGATTCAGGTTCTGGCAGATACAAGCATAGGAATCTCCTAGTTAGGGCAACATGCCTGGTGCATTTCCAGGGAGAACAGTAATGCCATCGGATGACTTGCTGCATTCTATCCTACTTAAGTGAGCTAGAGCAAATCATGGTGATGGATCCACTCCTATTTTGGGCAGACAATACCCAAGTCTGCTCAGATCTGTAGCAATCAACAAGGACTGATATATATGTGTGATGCTGGGAAGAAAAGTAAGGAAGTAGATTTCTCATACTCGGTTCCCATCAATCAAAATGCTTCAAGCTGGAATCAACCTAAAACATTCAGGTGTTTCAAGATTTGTTCCAGTGTAACATAATCAACTCAAAATATTTCAATAGAACTTTATGAATGAGATGTTGTCTTAAGCTTAAAACATTTTCAATTCTGTGCACACTCCTAAATATAAGTGCTATTGCAAAGAATCATTGCAAAAGTGTATGGGTCATATGGAAAGGGATCTTTCTAGTGGCTCTTAACTTAATAGATCTGAATGGTGAATGAAAAGGTTTTTGTTACAGTTCTTCACATATAAGTAGATTGATATCACCCATACTGAACGGAAGCTAATGGGAGATGGAGTTCGATAATTTTGGAAGGGCAAAGGTTTCTCATATCTGCATTAAAGCATGTTTTAAATTGAGTTTAGAAATGCACATGCAACCAGAGCTTCAGTCTACACAAAACAATCTATCTGATCATCCTCAAAAGGAGCCTCATGAAGAGTATGTTACGAAACAGCTCATTTTCTCTTGATCAGGTTCAGCTAAGTTAAGGTGACCAACTTTTTTACAATGAAAAGGAGGACACAAATAAATTGAAGAAAAAAATATCGTAAATAAAAGAAACATTTTATTCATTGCAACAATAATACAGACAACTTGCATGTGCAAAGTTTGCCAGCCAGGTGTTTTGGCGTGCTCAGCAGCAATTCCTATTGGCTTTCGAAAGCCAATAGTGGGAGTAGCACCGCTCATGCAAAAGTTGAAAAAAAAACCATCAAAAAAAGGTGCCGAAACACTGTTCTGAGCGTTCTATGAGGGGAAAAAAAGCCCTGCAGATTAGTCTTCAAATATCGAAAAGGAGGACATGAAGGAGGACACTTTTTGAGGGAGGACAGAACTTACAAAAGGAGGACTGTCCTCCCTAAAGGAGGACGGTTGGTCACCTTAGCTAAGTGTATCAGCCTAACATGTTAAAAGCCCTGATAATTTTATCTGTACTTTCCCAGTTGGTACAGTATTTCCACAAAAGTACAATTCCATTTAAGCCCAATTGAAAGCATCTTTTCAAAACACAATCTATGATCCCTCCATTTTGTCTGATTTAAATCCCATTTTACCTCAACCATCTCCAAACTGCCTTTAAACTGTTCAAAAAGAAAAAAAAGAAACTGCTCAAAAAGTGTTCAAAGGTTCAGCAGCTCCTTGGGATAAGTGGATGAAAATGAGAAGTGGATATAAATAACTTTTGCATATTGATGACACTTTAGACAGAATATTTGGAATATTTTTGTACCGCTTTCATATGCACATTTGGAAAAAAAGGGGAGGGAAAATGGAATGTTCTAGCATTCCACAGGCTGCTGGCCATGGGTTGGAGAGAACACACCAAATACTACCTTCTGTAACTATTCCTCAGGAAAGACCACAACTGTGCCTCTTAAGCCTAAACCACATTCCGCATTATTGGACTCCAACAAAATACCCAGGAAAAGGAGACCAGTTTATTACATGGTATGAGTCCCATAGGAAGCACATTCCAATATAAAGATATAATGTATAATGTATCCATGCCTAGCATTCAGACACTAATATGATTCCTTTATATGAAGCTGCCTGGAGTTGCTTTTTAGAGTGAGATGGGTGGCGTATAAATTTAACAAATAAATGTATGATTCTATACATAGCAACAGCAACGTACTAAATATGTTTGTCTACAGCAGTGGTTCTCAACCTGTGGGTCGGGACCCCATTTGGGGTCAAACGACCATTTCACGGGGGTCGCCAAACCACGCTGTCCGCCATTTTTTTCCCTTTTCCCTAGCTGTCCTACTCCCTCTTATTGGTGGCCACACCCACTTGGGGGTCACCACAACATGGGGAACTGTATTATGGGGTCACGGCATTAGAAAGGTTGAGAACCACTGGTCTACAGGGTAATTCAGTAAGTACATGCTTTTTCAAATTCAGACTGAGCTAAAAACACGTATTCTATCACACTGTACAAATATCAGAACAATTGGTTTTGAATTCAGAAAAGGCAGAACAACTTCTTCTGGACCCCAAGTAATTCTTTCAAGTTCAGGTAATTTCAATTTAAAATAGGGCAAACATTTTATGTACCTCTAGAGTAGGGATGTGTAAAGCATTCTGTGCATGGACTTTTCGCGCATGAAATAGCTATTTTGGGATGCTCTGTGTCTGGATTGAAATATGTTCCATCTGTGCATGGATCTGCCACACATGTTTTGTCTGAATATGGACTTGGAAGATGTATGCTATGGGCAAATTTGTATCA